GAGAGAGAGAGAGAGAGAGAGAGAGAGAGAGAGAGAGAGAGAGAGAGAGAGAGAGAGAGAGAGACAAGATTGGTTGTCACGTACCTGTTGAAGAGTGTTGTGCGGTCCAATGAAGTGAAGGGGCGGCCATAGCAGCCGAGCTCAGCCACGGAGTAACGAAGGAGGATGTGAGCAGAGAGACGGAGAGGGAGAGACCGAGCGAAGTAAGGAAGCCATAGCCGAGGAAGGTAAAGGGAGAGATGAACAAAAAAAACAAAAAAAAAGAGAAAGAAAGAAGATAACCGGGGTGGAAGATAGAGGCGAGGAAGGAGAAAGGAAGGAGGAAGAAGACGAAGGTTGGTGAGGAAGAAGAAGGCGGCAGCCATAGCCGGACGAAGAGTTGACCGGCGGAGTTGACCGGGGTTGACCACAGCATTGACCAGGGTGCAGACCAGCGTTGACCAAGGCTGTTGACCATGACTTTGACCAAGCTGCAGCCGGTATAATCTCGCCAAGCCTTCAAGCCTATCCCCTTGCCCTATGGATGTGCACACACCCTGTGGTACTTGCTGAGTCAAGTCAGTCTGTCTCTTCTTTCTGCATCGAGTCTCTTCTGTCCAGGTGATAGGACTCTGTGGATGAAGGATAGGGCCTTGTTGACCAAACCCACATGGGCTGAGTAGGGCTAAAGACTGTGTCTGACGACTCGACTTTCCCGGAGGACACGAACCCTCCCAAAGACAGGTACTGACCGGTGGGCTGCTCGGTGTGGCACGGTAGGCCCAAAATCCGAGCTGTGGCCTGCACAACAGGCCGTCTAAGTCTTGAGAGGACTTGCTGATTGCGTCGTCCTGCTTGCGACGTTAAATAATTCCTGAGGAGTTACGGGGGATATCCTTAAATGCCTCCTGATCAGCAGAGAGTCCTGTAGTGACAGCCTTAGAGTAGGTCCAGGCTAGTGACCCTAGGTGACAGGACCCTGTCCGGATTCTGTGGTCCATAGATTGAGTCAGTAGGTTGTGTTAGTTAGGGGGTAGAAATCTAAGTGGTGAGGAGTGGAACTAATACCCAGTTGTGCACCTGACACCATGGTGGACACCCGTAGTGGGAAGAGTACTACCCCTTATACCCAGGCTCAAGACGAGCAATTGGCCGCCATTTTAAAAGAGAGAAAAGAGAAGGAGCTCCTCAAGCAGGCGAAGTTAAAGGCAATCGCTGAGGAGCAGGCGGCGAAGAAAAAGAAGTTGGAAGAGGAGATGATGAGATTACAGAAGGAGGAGGAAGAGAAGAGGAGAGCTGCCAAAGAAGAAGCGGCAGAGGAGGAGGAAGCATTGGAAGA